TGCTAGTTGTTTTTTCTATTAATACACTTAACTTGCATTCTAGCTTCGCCATTCAGAGACAGGCATCGTGTGGTGGGTTGTGTGACAGTGTCTGTCAATAGTGAAGACAAATAGTGCCAGAGACACTTAACCCATCCAATCTCACCCAGGGTATAGGTCGGTCTCGTTTTCAGACTTCTTCATAAGTCTTTTTTTTCTTTCTTTCTTCCTTCCTTCCTTCCTTCCTTCCTTTTTTTGTTTCTAAATAGTGGATTGATACTGATTGAAACTAAGATTCTCTGTAAAGTTTTAAACTTTACATTAATATTATAAGAAGAAAAAAGAAGAAAAGTAGAAAATGAAGGTTGGCATGTAAGGTGTTGACAAAGCAGGTTTGCAGCCACTTTGTGTGTTCTAGATTTTTCATTCCCTTGGCAACATGAATGTTGGCCTTAAATTTTTTGTCTCTGAATATCTTTCTTCTTTGATCTGAAAATATATCCTTGTATCTGGTGACTCTTATCAAACAAGATGTTTAGATTTGAAATCATTATCACAAGTAAGAAAAATTAAATACTTTAAAAAGAATAAGGTTGAACAGTATTTTGGACTGACTGGAAATTGTGTCCAACACTGTTAATAATAACAATATCCTCTGTTATTTTTTATTATTTTCTGGGAAGTCAATAGTTTACTCCTTCTCCGTTCCACTATTGGTTTTATTTAGCACACTTGCTTTTATTTTAATGGCATTTTAAAATCAGTATTTTGCATCAGTGTTGAAATGTTAGGAAAGTATGTGCATATTTAAATGCTAGGGACCACTTTTTCTTGGAAGCTTACTTAAAATGTCATTTTAAATTGTAATAGGGATTTGTTTCATTTGAGGTTCTTAAAGACTAATTTCAAAGCTTTTCTATAAAAAGTTCATGTAAAATACACCTTTTTATTGTATTTTAAGCACTAATGAGAGTAGTTAAAATTCTAGTTCACAAATCTAGAACTAATAATTCTTAATTTTAAAATAGTTAGGCACAGGATGTATGACAGCAACTCAATAGTACTGCGAATTCTGGGATATCCGTGTAGATATTGTCTTCACCCTTTTTGTTCCAATGACTTTGAATATTCCTAATAAACCTTAATGGTTCCACTAATGTAAAAGAAAAACTTTAATACACACCCGTGAATATACATATTTAAATTCATGATCATTGCTAACATTTGGTATAATAGTTGGCTACCACTTAGAATACAATCATGAGATTTAGAACATTATGTAATGTTTCCCTTCACTTAGAAGTTTAAGAATTATCATTTCTTTTGAGATACTAAGTTTTCATTAGTAACTTTTAGAAATTATCTTTTCGTTTTCCCTTTGGTTGCTGCGCTCTCTATGATCCCCAAAAAATGCTATGGAAAAATAAAATTCTCCTAGACTGGAAGGTAATTCCTTCATAAAAGAAAAAAAAAATCACTGAAAATTTAATCATAATTAAGAAGAACTTTTTAAAAACATCCGATTTGGAAGTGTTGGTAAGGGATTTAAGGAGCAAATAAAATTATAAAGTTATAAAAGTAAAAACAATTACTGAAACTTCATATATTAGATCTTTGTGTTTTTAATATGCAGCAATTAAACAGTCTCTGCATTCCTAACATAAAAATGGAGACTCAACAAGGGGGAAAGGTAGATCTAGCATAATTTATTTATAAGAACTTATAAGTAAAAAAAAAAAAATAAGTTCTATGGAATGTCTTTTAATTTTATATTAACTGCAAGGTCTTGTAGATATTTTAAATACATTTACAATATTTCTAGGAATATTTTTTAGTGCTTGGAAAGGTAAAATTAATTAGTATTCAGGAACCCAAAATGTTTTAGTGTTACTTGAATGTATTTATTTTTAGATGGATAATGCTAAGGTTTTTTTCCCTAGAATTTTATAGAATACTACACAAGTAGGTAATTTGCTTTATATATAGACTCAAGAAATGTTATTAGCACATTCTTTGTAGAAATAGCAAACAATTATCTCTAAACTCTTAAGTTACTTATAAGTCCTTTTCTGTGTCAAATAATGCTACTATAAGAATATATATTCTAAGCATTTTGAGTAGTAAATGCTTTATTTATTTTTAAAAGGGCCTAATATGTCAAATGGTGAACACATAGATAATTTATTTGCCAGTTTAACTGCAGTGTAACTCAGTGTACATGCCAGGTATTATCCATCCTCTCAGGAGCCCACAGTTCTTTTTCTCCACTTTGCCATCTCACCTGGTATTATTAAAGCACTTAAGTGATGTCTTGCTAACCACAGTGTATAGCATCTTTATAATAATTTAGGATCAAATGGAGGTAGTTTTTAAAACATAATATTTCGTAATTAAAGGAGACTTACAGCTGTCTTCTGAAAGAGTTTATGTTTTCAGTTTCATAGTTTTGCGCTAATGAACTTTTTTATTTAGTAAGTATATCCAGGAAACTTCAGGTAAAACATAAAAATTTTGTACTAGGTGTCCAAGGAAAATGTGTAGAATATTTTAACTTATGTAGGGTATGAGATCACAGTTTGGCATACCTGTCCCAGAACAGACACTTAAATATGTTAATATCAATTGGATTTTATAACCATGATTATTTTTATAAGATGTACAAGATAAAATTTTATGTACCTCAGAGAGAATGTGAGGTTGTATCTTAGAGTTTAAATTTAATTTGAATTAATAAATACAATATAACTTGCTCTTGAGTTCATGATTGCTTTTCACATGTACTTTTCATCTGTCATGGACAGGGATCCCTGAGATGTTCATATTCTGCATTCTCATGTGCATGGTACTTAGATTCAAAATGGGCAGGTGGGGGGGTGCTTATAGAAATACAAGTTAACAGCATTCATGCCGCATGCTTTGTGTGTTCCACTGCAAATACTGCATGCTGCATACTTGTATTTCTCTGAAAATGAAAAAATAGACTCATACACACAAAATTTAGTTTCAGTTTTGCCAATAGTTGGAACAGATGGAGGAATGTTAGAAATGATAACTTTTCTTTATTTTCTAAAGTAAATTTTATGGTACTTTTTCAAAAAAGCATGGGAAAACACTTTATATTTAAACCCAAAGTGGCTACAAATCAGCTCCTAAACTGTCACTGACATTAGCATCTAGATTTTGTAGTTTCTACAAATCTTTAAAACATTTATTTACTAAGAAAACATTGCATTAATGCATGATACAAAATTGATAAATTTTTCTTTAAATTGGAATGCAGTTTAAAGTGACTGAATTTTCCAATTTCAGCTACTGCATTTGACAAGGATACAAACTGGAAAATGGAACTGGTATCATCTAATTACTCTAGATTCTTTGATTTATTAAGATAGTTGGGAAATCTTACCATGTGACATTATATAGATTACATTGTTGATGCTAATTTTATTTTCTGTGCTCTTCAGTCTTGACAGTAATGAAAAATTATGGATGACTTTGATTCTTGCAAATGATTTAAGTGTTTTGGTATATGTTTCCACTTTAAAGATAGATATTTGGCACTAAAAAGTTCATTTGATTATCTAAATATTGCCATTCCTACATTTCATTCTTTATAATTGATATTAATGTTTCAGTTTCAGTTACTGTACATCACAAGTTAAGTTTTATCATACCACTTTAAAGCCGTGGCCTACTTGGCTATAGATAAAATTATTTTAGATTTAAACACATCTTTTTGTTGTCACATGTTACCTATTATTTTTGTGTATGATGATTATAGTAAATCTTCCCATATCTTATAACAGATAAAATGTTATTTCTAAAATTTTAAAACTGACAACTTCAAACCTTAACAATGCTAGTGTGCCCCTGAGGATTTGCTGTTAAGAGTTAAAGTAAAATTTAAATGAACTATTTTGTCAGTTGCTACACATTTTGAAAAGATCTACTTGCATCTTATTTGTAAAGCATAATAGATAAATGTTTTTTTAAAAAAACGTTATAGGAGCTAATTCTGATTTTCTCCAGAGATTATTTTTCCTGCTTAACTACTTTTTGTTAGACTCCAGCCAATAAAATTTACTGTTAATTCCCTTAGTAGTTAAAATTAAGCTGGTCCTTTCAAAAGAGAGGAAATGACAGTGGTAATCAGTTGCTGAGTGTGTCAAGTACTTCATAAGAGAAATCCAACCAATAATTAATCTTTTCTCTGCTTTATATTCTGCCATGAGGGTGGAGTTATCTAAGAGACCTTGTTTTTACCGCCACTTAACAATTTCTGGAGATTCTCAATGGTTTACTTGTTTATCTTCTACAGCCCAGCATGACCAAATCAAACTTTTTTAACTTTTATTCTTCTAGAATTTACAATAATCATAGTGACGGTACCAGTTCCATTTTGCCTCCAATTCAGTTGATTATATATTTTTTCTATTTATTTCTCATTTTATAATTGATATCTGGAATAATCAGCAGCTCTTTTCTCATTTATTTTCTCATATTTTTATTCCAGGATTTGCCTCTGAAGCAGGGAGTGTCTGCATTAAAAATGACCTGTAGTTCTCTGCTTCATAGGTTAGAAACTTATTTTAATATTTTGTGGCTAAGCACAGTCCCACTTTCAAATTCTATAATGAATTATTTAATTGGCATTGAATGTGGACCACAAGCATATATTTCATACTGGGGTTTTCTTTATTATTTTAAATGATTAAAATTCAACAGAACACCTGGCTGAGGCAATAAAAACTTTATTCTACTTTACAATTTAAAATATTAAATTATATTTTTTAACTCTGTCAATTATAACACAAGTAACATAATGCTATTTGGGCATTTTAAAAAATTGCATTTCTTAGGACTTGTATTGCTTGAAGCATTTATATTCTAAAACTTAACCAAATTCCAACTATTCATTTTGGGGAAAAACAATCAGTTCAAAATCACATTTTCAATGGGACTGCTAGCCAGCATAGGTGAAAACATGTATAGTGTATTTACTCTTAAATTGTACACCGCAGATGCTTCTTCAGCTCCCTCCTCTTCCTCCATGGGCGGTGCTTGCAGCTCCTTTACCACCTCTTCCAGCCCTACCATTTATTCTACCTCAGTCACCGACAGCAAGGCTATGCAAGTGGAGAGCTGCTCCTCAGCCTTGGGGGTAAGTAACAGAGGGGTAAGTGAAAAGCAGTTAACCAGTAACACAGTTCAGCAGCATCCATCAACACCGAAGAGGCACACAGTCTTGTACATCTCACCACCACCTGAGGACTTGCTGGATAACAGTCGGATGTCCTGCCAGGATGAGGGGTGTGGATTGGAATCTGAGCAGAGCTGCAGTATGTGGATGGAGGATTCCCCCTCCAACTTCAGTAACATGAGCACCAGTTCCTACAATGATAACACTGAGGTACCTCGTAAATCACGAAAACGAAATCCAAAGCAGAGGCCGGGGGTCAAACGACGAGATTGTGAAGAATCTAATATGGATATATTTGATGCCGACAGTGCCAAAGCACCTCACTATGTGCTTTCTCAGCTTACCACGGACAACAAAGGCAACTCAAAAGCAGGAAATGGGTTGGTATTTGCATTTTTTAAAGTTCTATCTCCATAATACAAAACAAAACAAAAATAAATCATTCCCCACTTTTCTTAATTGCTCAGCTCAAGTTTGTATATAAAGCTAAGATATTGATGTGAGCACTGAAATACATGAAAAATTTTATTAAAATTACCAAGTTTCACTCTAGAAAAAAATAAAATAGCAATAGAATTTAGTAATAGGTATGTCATGGATATAGCTACATGGTAGTAAATGAAAGTCTGTTTTCAAATGACTTAAATTTCAAATGAATTTTTATTTTAAAAGAATTTAAAAATATATTTACTCATAGAAATAGTTGCCAGTGTAATGAGACTAGCTAAAACTCAAAACAGTCACAAAGGAATTTTAAACTTTTTGTTCTTTGATTAAAACAAGGAAAGTATTGGAGGTTTTAGTCTCATCATTTAGATGTGTATTTTGGGTAACATTGTTTTGATTCATCATTTTAAAAATATCACTAATTTTTCTTCAGTGATTTGGGGTTATTGGGAGAGTGACAGAACAGGATTATGGCACATGAATTTTCTTTCATCTCTTGTCAGTTCACTTACCATTCAATGTATCTCAGTAGCTACATTACAGAGTATTCAGTGCTAAAGCGCAGAATACTATGATTTATTTTTAACATTTTAATTTCTCATCACTTTTATTGTAATATTTAATTGCTAGATTTTTTTATTAGATTTACCTACAGTATAGTCAGTATAATTTGTTAAATCTCACCTCACTGGATTTGAGGGATTACTGTTTTAAGAGATAAGAAATGATTCTTTTCTTAGCCTAGGATTTCATTTAGTTTCAGGCAGCCACTAAAGTGATAGAGTAGCTTTAGATTGATTTACTGCTTGATGACTTCATACCTTTTAAGTTAAAGGTTTGGTTGAATATTACAGGACGTATTCTTAACGTATATCAAACACCCTCAAATATTGCCTCAATACATTTTTTTTTAATAATAGCTATAATCTAAGTAGTAATTATATTACTTTCTTCTGTACTCTTAAAACTCCTCTGGAGTAGCTTAATAAAAGTGTACCTTTAAGTGTTTTTCATTTTAGAAAACCTAGGTTAGAAAGTTATCTTAAAGAACACAAAATATAACCTTTCTTAAAATGTTGCTATTAACAGAGTCAAGAATTCTAGAACATATTATTTGTAGGAACCATTAGATACAGAAAAAGGCACTAAACATAGTACAGATCTCTTAAGATTTATGTATATATATATCATTAAATACAGTTGTATGTTTATTTGGGCTTCAATGGAGTGTTCTAGGAGAGATTTTCATTTTTTACTGAAATAATCGTTAAGGTTTCAGATGAAGAACAAATGAGATTTTGATTTAGGGATAGTCAACACACATGGTTTGCAGTTGCTATTAAAGATAACTTGACCTACATCTTTTCTGCTTCTGCTTTTGTATGATAGATGTATCTTAGAAATGATTTGAGGTTACCCAGGGAAAGTATAATAATATTTGTCAAGACAAAAATCTCTCATGCAATAATTCATGGATCAGAAACTCATCCAGCAGCAGAAGAAATGTCCAGCTTCTTAGGTAATGGAATAAATATTTGACACTAGCATATATGAGAATGATGAAAATTTAAAATTTGAGTTTATAACAATATATTAACAAAAAGATAAAACCATATATAAATATACAGAAAAATAAGCTTTTAAAAATAGTTAAGAGAATATCATGCAAGAAATTTAGGAATGTCTTAAGAAACAAGGAATATAGCGTTAGAGTTATATAAGTATAGATTTACAATTTTATAATGCTAAATATTTAGAATATGTGCTCCTCCAATTTGTTTGTACAGCAACTTACTGTTCTTCAACATAGAAATAGCATATTTTAATAAAAATATTATATAAAATTAGTTTATTAAGAAAATAATGTTTAAAAAACTGCTTAATATTTAAACATTCCTAGTATGGCATTCTTAACTTCTTTAGCTATCCTTAGAATCAGTAACTGTGTATTTTTCCTAGTTAGTCACATACATTAAGTATGATATCAACTGGGAGTAAAGCCTGTTTTATGCCTTTTGTAATGAATATTATTTTGGGGACAAAGAAAAACAGAATGTGTAATGCAGAAGAATTCAAATAATATTTTAACACTTTTGAATAAAATATGGCAAGAGAGTAGATTTATCTTTTCGATGTCATTTAAAAGTACAGTTCCACGTGAATAACTTACTTTTTCTTAAGCCATTAGCACCTTAAAAAATCAGCAATTCAAATGATCACTTTTCCAAGAATTAGTTGTAAACCATATTGAATATACTTTGTCAACTCATTTATTAGTTTTATCCCAAAAGAAATACTTTGTTTTACTGAAATAGTAAGACTCATATCTTTTTATCCTCATAATAATTGGGTTGGCTAGGTAAGTGAATATAAAATTCTTGCCAAGTTAATTGCTATTTAAATTTTCCTTATCTTTCTATCTAAGTGTTTCCTTTTCTATTACCTAAATTATTAGATAATTATCACAAACATTTAAAAATGCAGAAAAAATAGAAGAAAACAAATAATCTATAATTCAGCCACTCAGTATAACTGCTCTTAGCATTTTGTTATATTTTATTTACTTTTAATGTATATTTGGGGGGTGTTTTTACATAGTTTCAGTAAATGAAGAAAAACAGTATATTTCATATGTAAAGCACTACACCTTATATTCAGAATAGAATAACAAAAAGAAAATTGGGATTTGGTGCTCATTTTATCAGCTTCAACTTGATACTTTCATTCATAGATTGTTCGAGGGCCTTAAAATGATTTAATTACAACACACTTACATGAATGACATACCTTGACCAGAGCTTTATTTATTTTGATATTATAGAGCCTTCCCTCTGCTTTTCTTTCTTTGTTCCTTTTTTCCCCTCACCTTCATTATCAAATATTTTTTTCAGTACCTGCTACTTCAGCTGCTATATAAGGTTCAGGGACATGATGATTGAGCATAGTATTTACCTTTTAGAACTCTTCCTCTTTTCCAGCTGACCTCTACTGCATTCCTGTGCATCCTTTCTTTCCCACTAGTCAGTTTTAATCTATTGAAAGTTCTAGATAGATTGAGTGTACAGCCTTTCCCTTATGTGGGATAATTGAGGCAAGACCATAATAGAGCTACTTATAGCTTCATTTTTTAAAGGTCTTTTGTTTCCTTTTACTGCAATTCATTTTCTTTTGCTTTGCATACCTGATAGGAAAGTAATGGCAACTAACTCTTACAGTTTTATACTGAAATAAATGTTAAAGTTTCAGGTGAAGAACAAATGTTTATAAAACATTTATAGTTTTATAGTGTTTATAAAACACTAACACATGTATGTCATTTTTAGAATTTACTAGGAGTGCAGTGCATTTTGAAAGGTTTTATTGGCATTAGTTACTCTCTTGTTAGTCTAAGTTTCTTGAATTGTCTTCCTTCTACCTACCACACTTACATGTTTTTTTCCCTATTGAACTTACTCTTTTTTATTTTTGCATCATTTAAGTTAAATTTTATCACAAAATTGTAGATATTTTGCTTATGAGAGATGTATTTTCCCTTAAACTATTATTTTGTCAGTAAGAAAATCCAGTTGTTTTTACTATTACTGCCTGTGCTGTCTCCTCCTTAATCTAAAATGACTTCTGTAGAAAACTCTTTCTGATACTTTTTCAATGTTGTGTTTAAATTTCTCAGAACTTTGGAAAACCAAAAAGGAACTGGAGTAAAGAAGAGCCCTATGTTGTGTGGACAGTATCCTGTTAAAAGTGAGGGGAAGGAACTGAAGATAGTTGTACAGCCTGAGACCCAGCACCGAGCTCGGTACTTGACTGAGGGTAGCCGTGGCTCAGTAAAGGATAGAACACAGCAAGGCTTTCCTACAGTAAAGGTATTTATTTTATTTCATAATATATGAAAATTTTTCTTCGGTTTTACTTATTTTGTTATTAATGTGTAAAAGCTGCCTAAAATAAAGGTAGGAATTACTACCTGTATATAATCGAAATTAAAGTAAAAGTCCAACTGAACCACAAGCCAAATATTGTACTTTGGTATCATCTCGGTTTTAGTTTAAATAAGAGGAACAATGAAATTGGTCTGATAAGTAAAATATCTGAAAATCATGGCTTATTTTCCCCCTTATATTGGACAGTGGGAGCAAACATACTAGATTCTTCCCAAACTTTATTTTAGAAGAAATTATAAAATGAATTCAAAGAAATAATGTAGAGTTGTTTTAAGGACTTGAAAAATACGTTTTTTGAGAGAAAATTCAGACCAACTGAAAAGGAATTGATGGATGGGAAATTTAAATCTTTAAGAAATAAGGTATCACCTGCACCCCCATGTTTATTGCTGCTTTATTTACAATTGGAAAAACATGGAAGCAGCCCAAATGCCCAAAAGTAGATGACTGGATAAAAAAGATGTGGTACATGTATACAATGGAATATTATTCAGCATCCAATAAAGAGAAGCACATGTCTTTTGCAGCAACTTGGATGGAGCTGGAAAATATCATGCTTAGTGAGATAAGCCAGAAAGAGAAAGAAAAATACCGGATGGTTTCACTCATAGCAGGAGTATAATGGACCAGGCGAGAAAATAACAAAAATAATGGACAACCATATACCAGGGTGGAGTGGGGAATGGGGTCAAAAATGGGGGTGGGGAGGGAAGTGCACGGGATTATGGTGATAGGAAACCCGAAGGGATTACAATTGAGATGGAAAAAAAAATGTACAAAATGATGTAAAAATGAACTGTTATAAAAAAAAAAGAAATAAGGTATCAGTTGATTCTCTTCCTCTTTCAAGGACAGCTTTATTTCAGCACCTGGAATAATACCTTGTTACTAAGAATGTTTCTTCTTTTCCTCATTGAAGAGAAATACCATGTTTTTTTTTTTTTTTTAATTAAACTTTCTTATTTTCTTATATTGTTGTTCATTTTTGTGTACAGTATTTGATTTCTCCCCTCTTGTATAGTCCCCATAAATCTACCAGAACATCACACGTGAACCATCGCCAGGGTTCCTCCCTGTTTTGATCTATCTCCCTTCCTCCTATGCTCTGTGCTTCAGATCTATTGTTTGCCTTCAAGTTTTATCTTTTTTTTTTTGACCCTTTGTTCATTTTCCCTATATGCCCCGTAACCATCTAATTTTTTTTTCTTTCAGACTTTTTCAAGAGCATAATCCCTTCTAGCTCCATCCATGTTGCTGCAAAAGGCATGAGTTTATTTTTTTGATTGCTGCGTAGTATTCTATTTTGTATACAGACCACATCTTCTTGATCCATTCATGTTTTTTTGGGCATTTAGGTTGTTTCCATAGCTCAACTATTGTAAATAATGCTGCAGTGAATATGAGGAGGCAGGTGTCCTTTCGAATTAATGTTTTTGTGTCCTTTGGATAGAATTAGAATTGCTGGAATATATGTTAAGAGTAGAATTGCTGAAACATATAATAGATCCATTTTTAGTAATTTGGGGAACCTCCACATAGTTTGCCAAACTGGTTGGACCAGTTTGCATTCCTATCAGCATATAAGAAGGTGCCTTGTTTTTTGTTTTTTATCTGCATCCTCACCAGCATTTGTTGTTGCCAGTTTTTTTAATGTGGGCCATTCTCATTGGTGTAAGGTGGAATCTAATTGTGATTTTGATTTGCATTTTTCTGATTATAAGGGATGTTGAGCATTTTTTCATATACTTCTTGGCCAGCTGCATTTCCTCCTTGACAAGTAATCTTTAGTTCTTCTGTCCATTTTTTGACTGGGTTGTTTGCTTTGTTAAGCTGTTAAGTTGTGTAAACTCTTTGTAGATCTTTAATATCTTTTATCCATTTTGAGTTGGTTTTTGCATATGATGTGAGGTAGTAATCTAGTTTCATTCTTTTGTATGTAACAGTCCAGTTTCCCTGCATCATCTATTAAAGAGACATTTTTTTCCAGTGTACATTCACAAAAAATGTTTGTCATTGAAAACAAACAAGTAGTCTGGGATATTTAACTAATGTTATTATTCTTTCCAAATTACTAAGTAGGGAGACATTTTCCCAGTTGTATGGTAAATGATTATTAAGTACATTTTGTGTAAATGTGGATATTGAACAGTATCGAGACAGACTGCCTTTTATTTTAGGTACACTTTGGTGTACATTGTACAAATAGGTCTGTGATTTTTCTGCATTCTATGAAAGTAGTGTCACTGTTAAACTATGTACCTTATCAGGAATCAACATTGGAAACATTTGCTCAAAACACTTTTATTCATTCTTGCAGAAATCTGTTTTAGTTTAACTATTGAAAGCTTGCTCTAGATTTGTAATAATCAATATATCTGTCAAATTAGCAGTTTTTCAGACCATAATGTTTTGACCTGCGAGTTCATGATGTTGTATATATATTCCACTTCCGTATACTTCACGTTTTTCTACTCAAATAGTTCAGTGAATAAAAATTTAGTATATGCGTTTTGATATGATCATAATGATGATGATGCCATGACATAGTTTAATGAATTTTTCTATTAGTGGTGCTGGTAAATCTTGAGTAAGCTGCTTTGGCAGCCCTTAAATTTATCAGTACAAAAGTGCATTCATTTTCATCTGGATGCATGGTTATTTATATATGATAATTTATCATTTAACATCTAAATTTTTTACAATAGGATTATTGCAGAATTAAAACTTACAATTTTCTACAGAAATTTAGCCAATAATCCTTCATAAAAATATTTTACCTTTGTTGTTTTTGAGGATTTAAATTATTTCTTTATTACAATACAGTTATAAATATGGTACCTTTTTTTAATGTTTGATTTTGCAATTAGATTTATTGGAAATGCTGATTAGTGTTTATGCTCCATGTTATCTGACTTCAGCTGGAAGGTCATAATGAGCCAGTAGTGTTGCAAGTGTTTGTGGGCAATGATTCTGGTCGAGTGAAGCCACATGGATTTTATCAAGCCTGCAGAGTAACTGGGCGAAATACAACTCCCTGCAAAGAAGTAGACATTGAAGGCACTACTGTTATAGAAGTTGGCCTTGATCCGAGCAACAACATGACACTGGCGTAAGTAATTAGTAAATATTTTTTCATTGTATATTACACTTTTGCAGTAGGCCGGGAAGTATTTTAATTTCTAATGTATGAAAGATCTTAATTATTTTATTGAACTATTTTAAAAATTACAAATAGGGCCCTCCCTGGTGGCACAGTGGGTTAAAGCATAGTATTGTGAAGCAATCCACAGCTACTGCAGCGTAAGTTCAATTCCCCACCAGGGAGGTGACTCACATAGCTCAGCAGACCTCGCCTGACCTGACTCGCTGCTCCCCTCAGCAGTGTATTTCAGTAGATCTGCCTCTTCTGCTTCCTGCTCTGTTTCTGGTGAATCCTTTCACCACTACACCTCTAGCCTGTATCCCACTTCTGTATGCATCAATAAATAAATCTTTTTTAGAAAATTACAAATAAGAAGGTAATTACAGAATGATGATAAATTAAAATTTCTTTGCTCTTTGTTAGAGAATCTACCTGATGAAAACTAGATGAGTGCTAGCTTTTCAGAAATAGTTACTTGTTGATATTTTTTACAGTAAAAATTAAAATTACAAACAATTTAATTTGCTGTCCTACATCCCCTTTCTTAGTGTTTGCATTAGAAAATGTTGGACAGACATAATTCACAGTGCTTTTGCTCATCTTGATATGAAGAGCCTGGTTTTTCCTTCACCTTCTATTTTTATATTCCTCATTTACATATAAATGTATAGGACTTTTTTTTTTCTTCATTTAATGCATTTTTACTGCCTTAAAAATGTTAAAAGTATAATTTAAAATTAAAGTTTTGGGGCCTCCCTTTGTGGTACAAGGGTTATTAAAGTCTCAGTGCTATCAAGCTATGGCTAGCCATTGCTACAAGAGTTCGATGTCTGGCCTGGGAGCTGACTCACATGGTACAGCAGACCTCTCCTGTCTCACCCAATGCTCCTATCAGCAGTATATTTCAGTAGATCTGCCTGTTCTGCTGCCACTCTGTCTCTGGTGAATCCTCTCTCCCCCTGTACCTCTGGCCTCCATCCCAGCTCTTCTATGCATAAATAAATAAAACAAATCTAGAAAAATAAAGTTTTTTCTTAAATTGAACCAAAATAGCAGCAAACATATGAATATGATTAGACCTTTGTTGTAATTATTAGTGTGGCACAACAAAAGACTTTTCTCTATATGATTTTCAGTTTCCTTTTGAAAAGCACTTTGAATAGGTAAGAGTAGTAAATGGAAAGTTTGAAAAATACTAAAGATTTATTTTTTAATTTTTGAAAATTAGAAAAATAATGTATATAGCAGAACAGAAGCTACTGATTATAAAGGCAGTATTTATTGTAACTTTTGAAAACATGGAGTAATAATTTAAAATATTGTTAACAATTAACTTAAAAACCCAACTTCTTGGTTATTTTAGATACTTTTTAGGTGTTATCTTTCTTTGTTTTTTGATAAAATGGAGAATTGAGATACATTTGTACTGTTTTATAACCTGCTTTTCATTTATTATTAGCAGTTTCCCTGACATTAAGTATTGTTGTAACATAAATGTTTAATGACTTTAATAAATGTTTAATGACTTTAGTATTCCTTTTTTTTTTTTAATGACTATACAGTATGTATAGCTAGTGACTTATAAAGTATTCTGTTCTTTTGGGGATGATTACTCATTTTTTTTAACAGAGTCCACTCCTAATTTCTCAATTGACTGCAAAAAAGAGACAAAATTATTTTTTCTTAATAGTAAAAGTATCTCTTGTAAACCATTTATGTTAAGATTTTAAAGTAGTAATTTTACTTCTTTACTAGTTTTCCACTGTTCTTTCAAATGAAAATAGATACAGAATTTATCCTTCTATACTTCTTGAATTTAGAGAATTATAATTGTATGTTTGGTTAAGAATGATGAACTTTTTTGTACAATGGAAAATCTCAATATATTTTCTTCTCTTAGGGTGGATTGTGTAGGGATATTAAAGTTGAGGAATGCTGATGTTGAAGCCAGAATAGGAATTGCTGGTTCCAAGAAGAAAAGCACTCGCGCCAGATTGGTTTTTCGAGTTAATATCACAAGGAAAGATGGATCCACTTTGACGCTGCAAACGCCCTCTTCTCCAATTTTGTGTAGTAAGTAAAAAAATAATGGAGATATTAAGTATGTAGTTTTTGTTTGTTTGTTTGTTTTTTGTAATTTTCTATTAATCTTTTAGAACACTTTAAATTTCAGATGTTACACTCCTTGTGAGGCAGTTCCTGAGGGGTTTGGGCAAGAACAAGTTTAATAAAATGTTAGAAGGGACAATGCAGAAGCTGTGTATGATGGACTAGAGGGTCAGGGATTTCCTATAAGGCTTTAATTAACTTAGCTCATTCTAGAAATAGAACCTGGCAACCTTGATTGGTATATGGTAAATTTCCTGAATGTGAGTAGAATTTATCTGTCTACCCAGTCAGAGCAACCTTCTGCAACTATGACCTTACTAACAGCAGCAAACAGTCTGAAATATATCCATCGTGTGTGTAGACAGTTACAGAAGAGGAAAAGAAGACTAGGTTAATTATCCCTAAGCCCTGCTTTCAATTCCTCAAAAGTTAAGTCATTAAGAAGTAGAGTATTGCTCAGTTTCCCAGTAAATATTATACTGTATTACCCCATTTGATCCTAACTACAACTCCTTGATATTAACAGCATTGTTCAGGTTTGGAACATAAGATGAGACACTGACTTTGTTTGCCCATGTTTTGGTATGGTATTAAAGTAAGATATTAAATATGGGCATTTAAGTATATATGCCATTAGGTAGGTTCATACTTTCGGTCTCAGAATTTTTTTTTCTTTTTTTTCTTTTTT